AGGCCAAGCCTTATAGTAACATCACAATGGATTAATATTTTAGTATTTGATGCTTACGTACAATACAAACACAGCTACCTGAACTTTACTCAGTGTGAAAGGTAGTGATAAACACTTCACAATACTAATCATCAGCAGCACTTACTCTCTCACCTTTTGCATGTAAGAGTCATAATGGAAGATTGAGCTTTTTTGGCCAACAGTGCAACTTTGAATAATGTATTGTGAGGGTGTGGGGAGAAGGTTGTCCTCTTAGAATAGCTGGCAGAACAAAACATACCAGAGGAATTATTCCATGAATCTTTGAGGCCAGCTTACTTTCTGATAACTTCTCCATTACACTATTTATCTTGAAAAACCCATGCACTATTTTAAAATCACTTTTTCTGTTTGTTTATTCAACTGGGCATGCCTCTACTTCTAAGACAGCGTTTAAAATAAATAATGAACTTAAAGCCGACTTAATGATTTCTGTCAATTATCTCCATAACCTGATTTTGAGACAGAAAATGGCTGTTAATTCCCCTAGTACAATTTCTTTCTTTTAAATGTAAATTGTTTCTGTATTTTCAATAATTTATTCCCGTAAGTAGGAAGATCACAGTACTTTAGCAAAAATAGAACTGCTACTCTGTGGAAACATCCTCCAGAGCTGTGTTACCCAGTGTAGTGTTACAAGTGCCACCAGCATGGAGACCTGGCATGTGTGCCCTTTGTGACACACAGGGAGCCAATGCTGTGGTTCAGGAATACAGCAAGGCTTTCCTGACGCATGTCTGCCCAGACACTGCAATGGCCACTGTACAGTTCAGGGCCAGCAAGGAGACCAGGAGTGGGAGATATGTAATAATTAGACAAGAAAACAAAGGATTGAAGACAAAACAGAAAACATTCTCAGCTTTACTAACAACATGAAAGGGGGAATATTAATGTGACTTGTTTCTACTATCTGGTATTAAGACTTCCTTGGCATCATCGGTGCGCTTTGCAAACAGGCACATGCTGCTTGCCCTTCTATCTTTGACTTCTGACTCTACATTACCACTGAATGTACAGCACATTTCTTCCGCAAGTGCCTGGTACTATTTTCACTTTCCCTCTCCTCCCCATAAAAATGTATGTTTTGCCCAGCTCTAGGCTTTTATCTGTTCTGCTGTTTCTACCTTCTAAGTTGACACTGCAGAAATCACACAATCACAGAATGGTTTGGGTTGGAAGGCATCTGTAAAGATCCTCTATCTAATCCAACCTATCCTGCAACCAGCAAGGGTTTCTTCAACTAGACCAAGCTGCTCAGAGCCCAGTCCAATCTCTTCTGAAACACTCCCAGGGAGTGGGAGTATTATAGCTTCTCTGGGATATTGAGTATATTGCTTCTCTGGGCAGCCTGTTCCAATGTCTCAGCAGCCTCATAGAAAAAGACTTCTTCCTTTTACATAGTCTGAATCAACTCTCCTTTAGTTTAAAACAATTATTCCTTGTTCTGTAACTGCAGGCCCTACTAATAGGTCTGTCCCCATCTTTCTTCCAGGTCTTCTACAAATATTGAATGGCTTCCTGGAGCCTTCTATTCTCCAGGCTGGATAATTCCAACTCTCTGGATTCATAGGAGAGGTGCTGCAGCCCCCTGAATCTTCTTTGTGGCCCTTCTCGGGGCATGGTCCAACACAACCATGTCTTTCCTGTCCTGGGGATCCCAGAGCTGAATGAAGTCTCTCTGTAAACAGGAAGACAGAGCAGCAGAATGACCTCACTTGACCTGCTGGCCACACTGCTCTGGATGCAGCCCTGGATGTGGTTGTCTTTTTGATTTCTGGGCTGCAAGTGCACATTGCTGGCACATGTCCAGCTTTTCAAGCACCATTACCCTCAATCCTTCTTCATAGAGTATCTCTTAATCCCTTTATCTCTCAGCTGGGATTTGCCTTGAGTGCAGGACCTTACTCTTGGCCCTGCTGGGCACCTTTAAATTCACATGAGCTGGTTTGATCTTGTCCATGTCCTTCTTCATGGCATCCTGTTCCTTGGACATGTCACAACCACGCCACTCAGATAGTGCAAATTCTCCAAGGGTGCACTCAATCCTCCTATGTCACTGATGCCATGTTTACTGTGGGACAAATTACACTTTAACCTTCCCTTATGGCTCACGTGCCTACAGAAGCCCTTCTTCTTCCTCTTACATCCCTTCCCAGGCTTGCTTTAGCCACACCTTGCCTTCTTAGCTCTATCCTGTCACAACTGAGCAATGTCCCTATGCTTGTTCCAATATACCTTCTCCTGCTTCCTTGCCTTTTTGTTTCCTTCTTGGCCTTCAGTTTGGCAAGCAGGTCTTGACTCAGCCATGCTTTTGGCTTTCCTTTCATGGTTTCTTACAGATGGGAATTGAGAGCTCTTGCTCCTTGGAACACACACTTTAAGATCTGCCAGCTCTGTTCCACTCCCACTCAGAGGGCAGTGGGTCTCATACACTATCTCCTAGAACCTAAGAACTGCTGAACTCTCCTCAGGGAGATGCTCATGCAGCCTGCTGTTGTGCCAGGGAGATCTAAGGGCCTCCCTCAGGACCACTGCTTATAGGTTCCAAGATGACTGACTTTAGTCTTCTGGCGGTTTCCATATTGGCCGCCAACCAAGGCAGTAATTACAGGAAATTTTCCAAAGTCTGTAAGCATGATATTGCTCCTCTCAGGCTGTTTCAGGCAAGTAACATTCCCAGGCTACCAGGGGATGACTTACTGTCTCTTGTCACCCTCCTTCGTTAGGCAACAAAGGCCGTGCTATGGACAGTGCTTCTGGTAAATTCAAGGGCAGTTTTGATGGGGTGGGGGTGAGGGGGTGGAGGAGGTGTCTGAAGACATAATACATCTCCACACAAGGACCTTTTACCAATGGCAATCCATCTTTCACCACTGTGGTCACTTGAACACCTCTCTGCCTTTAAGAAACCTGCATCCAATACACTTCTAAAAAGTGAGGCTTGTACACTGAACAATAGGAAATGTAATTTCTGATGTAATTTGGACTATACCATCTATCAGTCTGAAGGATGCAAAAATCACACATTACAGATTGTGTATGACAATACTTCTGTATACATAAAGTATATGGTAAGCATTATGCATAGATTCAATTCATAACCCTCAAGTTAAAATGCTTAAAAATATTTCAGCAAAAGATTATATACTGAGCAACCAGCAAAGCAGCCTTTCAATATTTAACAACACACTACAAAGAACAGAAGGGCATCAAAATATATTTCCTGTACAGTGCAAATATAGCTGACACATGAAGTACACAATCCTTTCTGAATACGACATAAAATCCACAAAAACTGATTTTTCCTGCCCCTCACCAAGAATTTTAAAACAATTGAAAATGGCTGTCAAAATTCTTGTCCATAAAATTCATTCTTGCTGCAAGTAAAATTCTCCCTGAAATAATGGGTTTCAGTTACTCCAAGTCACTGGACGTTTCAATTACTGCTACCATGGTAACAGTATTGCTTATTATACCAATGTCCATTTTTCAGGAGGAGAATTCATGAGAAGCCAATAGGTAACCGCAGCAAGTAGCTAAGCACTTGCCCTTACAGTGTTTTATCATGTCCACAGGTCAAACAGGTTGTTTAGAGCAAAACCCCATGCTATGGAAAGGTCACCTGACCTGTCATGCAAAGGCTTTCACTCCCGCCCAGTCAGAATACCCATCATACACCATCCAACATGCTCAAAAAGCCCTTCCTTAAGAATCCTGCTGACCTGATTTTATAATGGTCTTGAGTTTATTCTCAGAGAATAAGGACGCATTTATGATTTCTTCCTCCCTATATGGATGTGTTTGCCAAACATCACCAAAAACCTCATTTCAGGGGCACTCCTTAGCCCTGGGAATGGCCAGTATTGTGCACAGTGTATTTTAAAAGCATCACTACCACTTACATTCCAATTTTCTTAAATGGACCAGTTGAATCTGGAGCAAGCAGCCTATTTGCAAGCAAATGATTTTTCATTTAGAAACAGCCCAAGCTGATAAACTGGATTATCCAAAAGTTCTAACTCCATTTAAACACCTAACAAAGTGCACACCTGGCTGAAAATTTCTGTGATTTTACAGTTGATACATTAACTGCTGATCATACAGTAGTGACAAAGCAATATTCTGCTTTTATCACAAAATCAACTGCAGTGAGAACAGCCTCAGACGCTTAAAGCATCACGTTTTTCCGTTTCTAATAGTCTCTGAAAGGCAGTATGAAAGTCCTCTAAAACCTTGCAGTAACTACTGCAATTTCTCAAACTTTCATAGCAGCACCTTATAATCAGTTTCTTAGTGTGAGTTTGAATGCCAGTAATACACAATGTAGGGTACAAATTCATTAATCTGTAATTTTTATGTAACTTCAACTGACTGCTGTCAGATATTAATTTATTATCTAAACACATCAGAGTTAACTCAGATCTGTGTGCAGCTTTCCACACCAACCCCATCAGACCATTCAGGCAATTCTGTCCCACCCACACCAGATCTCCAACCCCCCTGTATCTGCAGTACATATGCTCCACTTGGGAGCTTTTTTTGCCAACGAAGCAATGATCCACACACTAAGCAGCATCTCTGCAGGCTTTCCAGTACCACAGAGCAGTAAAAAATGAACAGTATTGGAAATCCCTCTTTCACTAACACCTCCCAAAACAGCACATAGAGCCATTTTAATAGCTACTACCTTCAAAACACAATTCTGGCTCTCCATGCTACAGCATACTGAGACCAAAGGCACACAGGGCAAATCCACAGTACCAATATTCTACTTCTCTAGCAGGAGACTTCCTTTGAGTAATACAGACAAGCCTCTTTTTCAGTTCAGTGCAAAGATTATGGTCCTACCAAACAAAGAGTAAATTGTTTTAAATTAATCAGTTCAGAATTTGTATTTTTAATTATTTATGTATTTTCATGAATACTGCATTTCAATGAAGTAAGTAAAAAAAGGTGACAGATTTTCTGGTTAAGACCATTTATTTTAACAAATAGATGAGTCTTTTAAGATGAACTGGAGGCTGCAACAGCTGCTCTCTTGGGCTTCGGGGTGGTTCCCTCACGGAATCCATTCCTGCAAGTAGAAATATCATTACCACTTTTTGAGAAGTCGATTCCTGCTCCAGGTTATTTTCTGTCACTCATGTTTTAGATGAAGCTCACTAGCTTTTTTCAATTTATCTCAGTAATGAACTGAAATCACTAGAGTTCACCCATTCAGACCTTTTTAAAAAGAAACACTTTATTAATAATTGTCTTGAGTAAGTAGTATGGTTTTTGTTCTCTTCTGCTGAAGTAAATTTGCGTTCTTGAAACAGGAAGATTTCATTATCTGAGCAAACACTGCAAATATAGCTCACCTGCTGAAAGCACATCTTATTAAAGACGTCCTGTTTCTGAAGTCTATTTCTTACAAAAATCCTCTGTGCCTCCAACCACACTTTCAGTCCTGAACTTGATTTTGGATGACATTTCTACTTGAGCAACACTCAGTGGAAAGCAAGCTACAACTGCACACTGGACTGGATGGTGTTTTATCGCTGCCATTGGAAAAGAACGAGCTAACCAAAACAAATTAACTGACCCTCAACCACTGAGGGACTGAGATCCCTCAACCCACGACTGAGACTTAGTCTCTTACCTTTTGCTAATGTAGCCAAGCTACATTTTTATGACAGTACTCCTGAATTACATGATATTTTTCATATTGCCTTCTTGTGAGACCAGAAGTTACAGAATTCCATGGGACTCAATCAAAATGGAAATCATAAAACATGCCTACTACCTCCCAAGTAAAACTCAAAGGCTTTGTAGCAAGTCTTAGAAACTTGCAACTCAGGATCTGATGAAATATCTAATCAGTGCTGACTGAACTCTAAATGAAGAGAGGGACCATGAGTTATCCCTGTCCTGAACATTTTCTGAGTGAGCAAATGGGAACAGGAGTGCATTTTGAGACTTATCTCTAGAAACCTTTAGTGTAATCATCTATTTAATTGAATCACAAATAAACAAAATACCACACTAATCATTTTCAGATGTGAGCTTCTTACTACAGTAACATCTATGTTCTGTACTACCTTCATTTAGTATAAACATTGCAACTTTAAACACCCTTTGTCTTACCAGTAAGATGTTTTCATTATTGAAGGATAAAATGCATACAACTATACAAAGCACATTATTTCATTACATATTTAAGAAGACTGTACTCCATTAAGTGGTACTAAAACAAAATTAAAATGTTATCTTTGAATGGTGAATTTTATCATTAAGTGGAGTCTATGCAAGATTTCAAGCACGCTAGTCTGTAATAAATTGTTATACCTGAATCGACGGTAGACCTTTTTCAGGTGCCTCATGCGACCAGTACCAGTGGTGTTGCGTCTTTTAGCCTTTGCACTCCAGTTATCTAAAATATGGAGGTTACTGTTATTTACTTGCACAAGTAATTTCGGTTCCATGTTACATTTGTATGGTACCATTATTCAAGATGACAAAAGAAAAAAAACCTGACTATAATTGAAATCAGTTTTTATGCACTAATACTACATATTACCTAGCATATAGTTAAACTACCATTAACTTGAACAAAGCTCCAAAATGAAAAATGATAAAACTGCAAAATGACAGTTTTTCTCCTTGACTGGAAAACAAATCAAAGTACTGAAGAAACACGTTTTTATGAACTAGAGCCAGCTGAAAGTTTTTTACTTACACTTTCTCTTACGCTTAGCAGGGTAACCACATTTCCCACATGTCGATTTTTGCAGATGGTATGCCTTGGACCCACATCGACGACACAGGGTGTGTGTCTTATTTCGTCGTTTACCAAATGATGACGTACCCTTCGTCTGAAAAACATTTCAAGACATAAAAGTAACACGTCCAAGTTACAAAATCAAAAGAACAAGCCTCAAAACACCCAGCGCAAAGCTAGCCGTGTAAACACGTCAGAGGCACATTCAACTCTGAACCACAACTCAGTTTTAACTATGAGCACCCTCCATTTTCAGGACCCGCTGCCGCCATTCGTTGTGTCGCCGCCCCTGTGCTGAAGAAACACGGAGCCACGGCACGTTTACACCGGCCCTCTCCCCACACCCATTACCCTAAAGCAGCAAACCACTCTCTTCCGACGAAAAGTGACTCGCTTCACACAGCGAGTGCAGCCGCACACTCACCGCTAGCGACCGAAATCCTTCCTGCTACGTTACCGCCCGGCTGCTCGGCCACGGCGGCAGCAGGTACGGGGCAGGAGTCCACGGAGCGCCCGCGGCTCCAGCCGCACCACGGCCGCCCTGCCCTGCCCGGCCCGGCCCGGCCCGGCCCGGCAGCCGCGCCCGCCGCCAGCCCCCGGCCCCAGCCCCGCCGCCCAGCCCCCGGCCCCAGCCCCGCCGCCCAGCCCGGCCGCGGCACGGCGCGGCGGCGGATGGCGGCGGATGGCGGCGGATGGCGGCGGATTGCGGCGGATTGCGGCGGATGGCCCGCGAGCGAGCCCAGCACTCACCATCCTCGCCGGCCGCCAGCACCAAAGAGGCCGCGCTCCGCCCCGCTTCCGCCACGGCCCCGCGAGCGCTTCCGGGGCGGCCGCTTGGGCGGGCCCGGGCCGGGCTCAGCGCCACGGGGCGAGCGCGGAGCCCGGCGGGCAGCGCCAGCGCCGCGGGCGCGGGCACTGCGGCAGCGCGCTCGGTGCCGGGCGAGCGCCTCCGCGCCAAGTCCTGCTCACACCGACAGTCGAAATTCCTCTTACAGAACCACACAATCACCAGGTCTTGAAGAGATCTACAAGAACATACAATGCACCGGTCCGCCCAGCGCTACCCCTGTAAGCCCCTAAATCACATCACTCAAAGCCAGGCCCAGACGCCCTTTGAACACTTCCAAGGAGAGCAATTCCACCACCTGCCGGGTAACCAATTGTTGGCCACCCGAGCAGCAACAAAATTTTTAACGTGAATCTCCCCTCTCTTAGTTTCACACCATTTTTTTGTTGTCCTCTCTGTAAGCACAGTAGAAGAGACCGGCCCTCACTCCACTTTCAGGTGGTTGTAAAGAGCAATAAGGTCTAATGGGTGAGTTTTAATGAGTGAAATTCAGGCACAGGGTTTTACTCCTGCCTGTAATACACAACTTTCTAAGTAAGCTGCCTTGAACAGTGGGCCCTTCTGTACTTTATCCATGTCCTCCCCCAGACCCCTCCAGGAGATCAAAAGTGGAGTCTGCCTGGAGTCTCCACGAGTCTGTCTGAGATCAAAAGGATTGCAATGGACATCATGGGCACAAAAAAGAAAAGTGGTCACAGCACTGAGCCTGAGTACAAGAAACATTTAGACATATGGCATCAGGATAATGCTCTAGACATATGTGATTCTTGAGGCTGTCTTGTGCAGGGCCAAGAATTGGTTGGTGATCTCTGGGGTCCCTTCCAACTCAGGATATTCTGTGGTTCTCTGAAAATCTACTATTTAAATTCTCACAACCCTGCCTACTATGCATCTTCAGTAGACTTACAATCTCTACACAATTTTATCTTGAGAGAGTTAGTTTCAGGGGAAATTGGAGTAATTTATGTATACCTTATTACCAGATCATTATCTTGTCAAACAGAGACAGAAATTGATGCTATAGCCAGTTTCTTTATCTTTGATTGTAGAATTATGTAACTTGAAAAAAGCATGTATTTTTCTGGTAAGCTTGATCTTAATCCTTGTTTACTGACTAAAAATGCAGCTTTTCCCAAGTACAGCTCTCTGGGCCACCAGAAGCCAGCAAACTGTGAGCAACCCTCCCACTATGAATGAGTTGAACCCATGACATGGAGCTCATTGATCAGAAACAGGGGTAGTCCCATGGCACAGTCTTCAGATTAGTGAATCTGTGTGTGACCTGCTGCATTTTCACTCTTGGACAAATCATGTTCTTATGATTGTCTAAATATTAATTTATCCTCACTTCTTTTGGAGTGTAGCCTCTAGTTGAATTCTTTTGGTGCTAATTTATATAATCAGAAGCCTTTGACCTTTGCTAACGTTGAGGGATGGGTTAAAAAACCATATTGACCCAAAAAGATATGACTTAGGCTATTCACTCAGTTCTCTCATTTTGGGGTGGCAATTTCTCTTTCTGAAATACCAGAAATCTTTTCCTGTATTCATTTTACCTCACACAAAACCTAGACATTTACTCCATCCATGGTCCTGCAGTAGTTAAAAAGGAGAGATTTGTTCCAAATGGTAAATCATCCCATCTTAAATTATGTGTCTGAAGTAGGGTGATCCTTGGGAGGAAACCTTCTTCCATGAAGGGTTCATTCCTTCTTCTGCCTAGAGAAGACTAGGAAGACCTCTTAAGCTGGGCACATAGGTAGCTGAATTTAGCTAAAATTAATTTTACCCTGAATTAACTCAATGAAGAGTCAATTTTATAGCAATTCTGTCTTCCTTAACAGAAATCAAAAGAGAAATCACAGTGTTCTATGGATGAAATACACCAAAACAAACCACTTACATGGTATGAATACATCCTACAGGCTGAACTGGAGTCATATTTCTTCCAGCAACCTTGCTATGTGCCTTTTATCTAGTGCCTCCTTTGCTCTTTCTTTCTCACTAAATCTCAGAAATCTGGAAGATGGCATGGACATTGGACAGGTGCCATGGCAACAGCCTCCAAAGGAAGTCTGTTGGTTTGGCTGCCTGCAAGAATATGCAGGAATTATTCCTGTCCTTTGTGGGATAAAAATAATCTTCTTCATTTACATGTCTTCAGACTTGTTCAGAAAGAAAGGTTGTTGCTATCATCATGCATTTGTATTTAGTATTCAGGAATAGTTTTAGGGTAGAGAATGGGCAGAGCTGTGGCTGACCCAGTACCATTCCAGAAGGTCTTAGCCTGTGTGAAGCACACAGAGAACAGAGTTCATTGCCCATTGCTCAGAACCCCCAGGCTGCTGCTGAATGGCACCAGTCTAAATTCAGCACTGACTAATTCACACTGCTTCTTTGTTGCATAGAAAGTAATCCAAAATTTAGAAAGTGACATGTATGAATTTCAGAACTGTCCTTTTGATGTAGGAAACAGGAGTCTGTCACTGCAGCTGTTATCCCATCACAGCTTCCATACAGGAATTTTGGTCCAGACAGGTTTGCTGATGGAAAAAATCCTTTGTTGTGCCAGCATGCAGTGATCCTATTAATCTTCTAGGTTAGGGTTTATTGAGTACCATGTTCTGCACCATGTTCTACAGCCTGGCTGATCTGGCTGGAGTTAAAACACTGCAGTAAAAAAATCTATATGCCTTTAGAAATAAGCGTTAGAGTTAAGTCTAGTTCAAAGACAGGGAGACCAGAATCAGGACTACCTAGGCATAAGAGAGGAAAGGGTATGTATGCAGCAAATAACCCCAGTGGCATTTGTTTTCTCAAGTTTGATGTCATGCTACCTCATCACACCATCACTGGGGTGCAGTACAGCCAGACACACCCTGTGTGTGACAAGAAACAGAGAAGTGGAACTGGTTTTACTTAACTTGAACTGCTGAAAGGACTAGTGTGTGACAAATGAGCAACTACTATCCAAGCAAAATCTGTCTAATGTCATAATATGGCATCACTTGTTTGTGCACCCTTGGGTGCCTGTGTAGCATCCTTTACTCAAGCAGGGATGAGTTAAAGGGATGGGAATAGTGAAAATTCAACCTTTATATACAGATGTTTGAAACTAGTCAGTACTAAATATTATCTTCAATTATCTTCAGTGGTGCAGACAAACTGAAGTCTTTATTTCTTAGTGTGCTCTCATAGATCAAAGGCATGCCTTTCGGTATCCTCCTGAATAACAAACACTTTAACAACGGTAACAACATCTCAGGAATGCTACAGGAAAACTGAGGAATTCAAGGGAAACATTTTCATAAGGGTTGGTTTTGTTGCCTTTGTGTCTTGTTATCCTCCTGATTTGCAGAGGTAAATATCTCAGTTGGAATTATTGGGGGAGACACTGGTTATTTGTTACCTAGCAAGCAGAAGCAGCATAACTTCATCTGTATAATATCCAGATTCTTCAGTTTGAAAACTTTTGTATGTGAGATTGAACCAGAAGCATTGGTCACCACAAGATGACAGTAGAGTTCAACTGAAACCTTTCTACTAAACAATTCAGTAAAAACTCTCAAACAGTAACAGTACATTAGGTTAATAAATTGAAATATTAATGAATGCTATCGGTACAGTTCTTACATCTTTATGACAATAACAGAAAATTTTAGCAAACAGCAGTGTTTATGAATCAGCCTGTTGTATCCTGCTAAGAAGCTAATAAGCATAATAGAAAAGTCTTTCTATTTGTTTAAGTTGAAAATGAATACAAGAAAATTAAACAGCTGACATTAACTTCTGAAATTGCTTGTTAAAATATAGTGGAAGTGATGAAAAAATTTTAACAACTCAATATTTTTTAATTACACTTCTATGGCAGCCTTCCAGTACCTAAAGGATGCTTACAAGTTGGATTAAAAGGGAGACATTTTACAAGGGCATGCAATGGTAGGACACAGGGGAATGGCCTTAAGCTGAAGAAGGGCAGGTTAAGTTTAGGTATTAGTAAGAAATTATTTACTATCAGGGCAGAGATGCACTGGGAGAGGTTACCCAGAGAAGCTGTGTGCGTCCCATCCATGTAAGTGTTCAATACCAGGCTGGATGGAGTTGATCTAGTAGAACGTGTCCCTGCCTGTGGCAGGGATGGGTGGAACAAGATGATCTTTAAGGTCCCTTCCAATGCAAATCATTCTGTTATTCTATTGCCACTCCTCAGCATCAGACAGAGAGAGAGAGATTAGATAATAGCCTTCAGATCACCTTGGGAATAGTAGTAATACTTGTAGATCATAGCAGAAGCATGACTATCATCACAAACAGTAAGAGCTCCCTGCCCATTTCCTCAGCTGCCTTTAACCTTTATCTTAGAGTAGTCGCAGGGGAGATCCTGGTTTCTTCCCCACTAGAAGCCACAGTAGAAACTTTCCTGTGCCATCTGCCTAAGGGAACAGGGAGACCATATCTCTTCTCAGCAGAGACAGGGACAAGTCTGGGACATACTTGCTACACAGTGCAAAAGAATTCAGAAAATTCAGAATTTTAAATGACCCTATTTTCTTTTTTATTTTTTTTTTAATTTAGTTCTGCTTTTGTTTAGTTTTGATTATTTTTTTTTCTGTTTAATGCTTATGCCTAGATACAGTACAGTTGTAGGGCTTTGTTGCACCAAATTCTTAGAGGGGGTTTCACTGTTTGCAGAGGTGGTTGCATGGCAGTTTAGGCTGAGCACCAAACAGGGTGCATAAGAGAAAGCCACAAGTTCCTTTACAAGGTAACAACTATTTACTTCTCAGTTCTATAATAACAAAATATTCTTGTTACTATTATTTTGATAAAAAACAACCTTTCTTGATCTTGTCTTGTTTGACACTGTTGTCTTAAAACTTTGTTGCATTATTAATGCATAAATGTATGCATACGTAAGCCTGGGGCAAAATTTTCATTGGAGAGGTACAAAAAGCGTTTGAGCTACCGCCATCTGGTATTGCAGTATGAATCACATTC